TAATTTTTTGTGGTGTATAAAGCTTCAGTTGGCTTCTTTTTTTGTCAATCAATATCCATATGTTGTTCTCATGAAATTATATGCGTGTTACCCTGTTTTTTTAGATGGGGAAAAAATTACTGTGAAGTTTGATGGATATAAATCATATTTCTTTTCTTTCATTAAAGGGGAAAAACAAAGAAAATAATAGAAAAAGGGGAATATGACAAGTTAAACATCATCAAAATCAGTGCACAAAACCTAAGTAGCTTCCCTACTCACAAATTGAGGCTTAAAATAAACAAACTCATTAGTCATTAAAGGGGGGGAAAAAAGAAAAGAAAAGAGACTCGGATATAAATATGCTTGCTAACAACTGATTTCTTTTTCTGATAAGTTTTCCTGGAACTAATTTTCTTGTTAATGATTGACTATGGACTACAATATGATATACATTTAGGAGGTGGAGAAGACAATTAGTTAAAAGTACATTTGTTTTTGGTTTTACACACGCAACATTTTACTGAGGGTTTTATAAGGAACATTTGCTATGGATTTTTCTTTTCTAATTTTATCACGAGCAAGTGTTGAGGGGAGCTATTTTAATAGGTGCTCTTTCTTGTAATTTACTCAAGGGACAGGTCAAGTCCTTTGTCAATGGTCATTGATTGTCTCCAATGGTTGGTTCTCACATCTAGATTGTCAAATGCATATTTAGCAACAAAAGAGGGGGGAAAAAAAAAAAAAAAAAGATTGTCAAATTAATATGCATATGGTCTTGTCAGCTTGTACTATTATGTGGAAACTGTTACGAGTCTATGACCTATGAGCTATTTCCATTTTGACGAATTTCATACATTATTATTAACATTTTAACAACAACAACAACAACATCATTAAGCAAGGTTTAACAGCCCTTTTCATTAAAGAGAGCCCTTTTTCATTTCCGCCCTAAAAAAAAAGGAACCCTTTCACAGTTAAAATAAATAAAGCATGCTTTTTTCTGGGTAAGTCTATATTTCTATACATTAGTAAAATAGAGTTTCTCTTATTATAGAAAGTGATTCAAATACAGCTTTTTTAGCTTTTGTTTGTTTTACTGGTTTAATTCAATTCAACTCAGTTTGAAAGGTGAGCATAGTTTGAATTCGTATTTGGTAAGCATTTAGTCCAAATTATATTCTCTCTTTGACTTAAGTAACTGTCCAATTTAGAGTTTAACTCTCCCGAAAGTTTAACCGTTCAAATCATTTTTTTAACAGTAAAAAAGTGTCTACTCTCTATGCTTTTCACACCTACCAAACACAAATTCAAATTTTATTCCCTATTCAAATTAAAATTTTAACTGCATATCTAAACGTCAATTCAAACTACAATTTAAACACACAATTTGAATTTTTCTGTTTAAATAAAAATATTTAAATCAATAAAATTAAAACCAACGAACTAAAAAATGACTTAAACTTTCTTATTGTGTTTTCTTTAAGGAAGTCTCATTGTGTTAGAACTTACATCTTATGTTTTTGTTTCTTCTCTCCTTTTACATTTGCCTTTTGTCTTTTATCTCCTTTTACATCACCTTGGTTTTTGCTTCTTATTCTCTCCTTATACTTTGTCTTGTCGTTTATCTCTTTTTTTTTTCACCTTTTCCCTGAAAGATTGCATCATATAATCTACATCTTCCCTCTTTTTAGGAGATTTGCTTCACAATATAAGGAAGATATATAAAAAGAAATGCGTGCATTGTCTTTTTATACATTATATTAAATATTATTAATATTGGGTTTCTAATTTTGTGTTCTTGGAATTTTTCTTATCTTCTTATATGCATCTGTGCGCATATATGATCTTTTTTTTTTTTTTTCATTTCATTTGGTCTTTCGAAGCATCTTTATTTCTACTATATTGTGATTCTTCCATATAAAGCTATAATATTTCCTAAATTCTTATTGGATAGTGGATACACATGTATATTAAATCTTTTCTAGAAAAAGAAAAAAAATAGTTTCCCTCTACTTGTAATTAATACAGTGCAGTTCTTATGTATTTGCACGCTATGTTCGACTTAAGAGTTTGAATGATTTATGGTGTTTGGATTATGTATTCAAACCCTTTTTGCTGCATTGTTGTATCTCATATAAAACTTCAAAAACAAAATTAAAATAAATTTAAACCAAAAGTTCTCTTTAAACCCTTTACCCTAACATAGTGATCATCATTTTTCTCTTTATTATTCTTCTATTTTTCAAAATTTGAGAAAGGCATGAAATTCTACAGTGAAGTAATATTCAACAATGTATATAACAGCTATATTTACCATAATTATCACTTCAACTACAATGCTAACTCATGACCACTTTTTGATGACCAGAGATGAAAGATATCAAACATGGTTACTTTTTTTTATTATTATTTTTTTGCTTGAAGGGTACAATTGGTTGCCTCAACAAACGTACTAAATGTATTACATACAAATTACAATACAATGAGATCTAAATATGGAAATGTACAAGCACTGTCTATCTATATGAATGCATAAATATATATATATATATATATATATGTGCGTGTGTGTGTGTATATATTTACAATGTGTACAATGTCTATACACAGTGAAATTACCAAACCACAAAGTGACAAGCAATCAATCACCTTCAAGATTACGTGGCCAGCAAGATAAAAAAAAAAAAAAAATGATTGTCACAATCGTATGCCATTCGCTGTTATAACTCGTGATATGTATTTAGATAATATTGTTGAAGCTGCGATATGAAAGGTCAGCTGTACTATAACTTTCTGATGCTTGATTAGCTAGGATGCTTACACTTCACTCTTTAAGATAAGATATACGTACATACAAAATATATGAAAATCGAGCATTTAATATTCAACCGAGCATAAAATATTGAATTCTTGATTGGTTTTCTTTTTTTCTTTTTTTTTTTTTTCTTTTATAGTTGATTGCTTGATTGGTAGAATCCATCTCTATATATATTAACATATACATTAAGTACTCATTTGCTTCCGCATGATTATAAGAGCGAGTACTTCAAATCAAATGCTTTATTTCGATATCTAAATAATTACTCAGTATAACACACGCGCGCACACACACATATATATACATTACTACTGCAATTGTTGTTATTATTGTTATTATTATTCCAAAAAATGCTATTGCTTCAGAAAATTGAAAATGTTAAAAAGTTGATATTTTAGCTGTAAAAGTGTTGTGTTCTAGGGGAAACAGTTCCAAACAACTGAGCATGCATGATTAATATTTTTTTTTTCCTTTGCACACTTTCAAATTCTAGGATTACTAGAGCCAGGCATGAACTTTAAGTAAAGTCGTGAGGAAAGACGCTAGATATGAATTAAATCAAACCTCATCAAGTGTTATATATATATATATATATAGGATCAATTTTTAAACGTACCTCCTAGTTTAATTTTTTTTTAACAGTGTATCGCTATGCCTTTAGAAACTATGAAAGTATTCTTTGGATTTTAAAATTTGTTTTAGTTTCATCTCTTACACACTCTCTCAACCCTTTCAACCAGAAAAGCACGGTACAAGAGAAATATAACCTTAATTAGGCCGAATTTATCGTTAAATTTTTTTTTGTCTTGAGAAAAATGATGAAAATTTTTATTAACAACATGCGATTCCAAATATGAGATTTTGTTTTTGAAATTTTAATTTAAAACATTTTTCAAAAACTATTTAAGAGTGTTTTTATCTTGTCATGATGAAGGTTCTAAGTTAAATTATATGATTTCAATAGTTATGATTTCACTCTTTTTTTTTTTTTTTTGTCATCGGGATGAAATTGAAATAAAATTTCAAATTTAAAAGATACTTTCATAGTTTCTAAAAAAGACAAATAAATTGCAAAAAATTTATAACTAAACGAATTTTTATGTAACTAATTACCCTATTTGTTGGTTATACAAGTGTTATATAGTGATCATCATTATGCATAAAATTATATGGTCTGTATTAATACGAGCTCTAGTTTGTTGGTTTTTTTTTTTAATTTGTCTGAATTAACATTCGATGTTCTTGACCTATGGCACTGTTGCTAGTTTTCCCTATACTGATCAATCAGACAGATATTTAATGTTATTCTTAGACTTGACCTATATAAGTTGCAACATAAAATAATTAACACATGATAAGTTTTCAAATGTTAATAACCATATCCTTTCATAAAAAATAATTAAGCAAAACTTCCAAATGTTCTACTTCCAAATGTTGACGTCCCACTTAATGGCACGTCATACATCTTTCTCTAGCTAATATTGATAATTATATATATGTTGCATTGTGAAAAATATCATAAAACTTATTTTAAATGTAAATTTTTATTAGGTAAGTGACTCAAATTGATTTGAGAAAATTAATATTTTGTGTTTTTTAGGTAAGTTACTGTTTTCTGTTTTTTAGGCACAATGGTCATTAGGAGTTTATAAATAAGTGTTTTGTGTAATACTTTATGTGTGCTCAGAGAAAAATGTAGAGACAGAGTGTCTCCTTTTGATAGAAAGAAAAAAGTGAGAAAAGAGATAGGCAAGGTATAAGGGATTTTGGGTAGAAAGAGAAAGTGAAAAAGTTTATTCAGTGTATAATTCTAAAACTGTTAATTAATTTTTCTCTCTATTCTTTTATGGACGTAAGAAATTTTTCTGAACCACCTAAATCTTTATCTTCTCTATTTTTTTATTATTTTTATTTTAGTTTATTTTTCTTCAGCGTGAGTGTAGCGGTGTGTTTTTTTTCCAATAATTTTTGAAGTATTATGTCATCTCACGTTAACATTGCACCATCTCGGATGTCACCATGATATTGATGGTACTATTGAAAACACTAGAAGTCTACTACTTCATATATGAATATATGTGTGTGTGTGTGTCAATTTTCGTACTGAAAAAAGTTCTGGATTGTGACAAGAAACATCCGAATACATATAAATATACCATGGAAGAAAACAGGAAAGAAAAATAAAAAAAATAAAAAAATAAAAAAAACTCAACAACCTAAGAAATTAAAATACTAATTATGGCAAGACTGCCTTCGAAGATGAAGAGTGCTTTATTCAATATGATCACTCATCACCAAGTTTTGCTCCACAAAGACATGTCCATTACACCTTTTCTTTTCTTTTCTTTTTTTCCCTTCATCCTTGTATCAAACAGCCGCTGATATATATAGGCAAGTCTTTTGTAAAACTATATATACTCTAGAAACCTCCATCCACAGCCAATCCCAGCATATTTCTTATGTACATAATTCTGTTCATTTGTTGAGATGAGGAAAGCATGCATAAAAATATACTCTTCTCCCATGATACCTTTTTTTTTTTTTTTTTTTTTTCCTGAATTCTCCCATGATGCTTGAATATATAGGTAGCTTGCATGAAATTCTGCAAACGAGCAACATAAAATTATTCTCTTGACATAAAACTTTGCTCTCATAGAAAGAGAGATATTAAAGCACAATTATTCTTTAATTATCAAAGCATTCCTTGTATATCATCTGATTAGAGTCAAGCTCCAAAGTTTCTTAACCGCTATATCTATATATATACACACACGGAATCTTTATGCTTGCTTATTATTGTAAGTCAATATATATATTCTCTCTTTTTTTTTTTTTGGCTTTTAAAGCATAGGTAAATATAAAAAATACTTAAGATCATATTGTTTAGCCATGCATTTAGAAAGAGAATTTTTTGTGGTCCTGCAACTTGAACTGAATTTCTAACTAGCTTTACTCTTCCTATTGTTTTATTAAATTATATATTAAATTTGATATCAAAGCTTGAGGTTGTTTTGAACCTCATTTCACATTTTGCAATATGTCTTTTGTTATTTAAATCAGAATCTTTTAACTACTCAAATAAGTAACATTCGTTTTTATATTTCTTGTGTTCAGTAGAACTATATATTTTGTTCGAATTTTGTATATATGCATGAATATTAGAGGTGTCAGTGGAGTTCAGAAACATGGCTTGAAAGTGGATAGTGGAACGTTAAAGTGTCCACTCACAAGTCACCTTCTAGAAAGATAAGCCAATAAGGTCATTCAATAATATGCAATTAGTTCAAGTACAAAGAAACAAGATAGTATATGTATTTTTCAGTTGTCACCTCTTATCTTTTGGGAATATGATTACTATACTATAGAAAAGCCACTACATGGAAATGATCAGAAAATATATATATATAATAACTTGCAAGATAATGATATATAGCTAGGATTATTCAGTACCTCTAAAACCTCAAATCATAGTTAACAAAATATGTCATTCACATCTCTTGTATCTTCAAAACCAGAATAATTAAGCACACACAATATCATTCATCATGTAGAAAGAGTACATAATCCATAATTTAAATCATAGGTCACTAGACAACTAAACAAGAGTACTAGAAAGCTAGATAATTAGCAGTTCCTACATTACAATATAACATTTCCATGACAGAAATTAAAATGATCAGTGAACATCAGAGTTAATTTGTTTCTTCATGAGTTAATTAACATACCAATTAAACCACATGATCTCAAGATAAATCTAGTAATCAGCATAGATTTTGGGTGTGGCGTTGAAGCCCTCCAATTCGTTGCCAAAGACTTGAAAGTTGGAAAGATTAAACTGGTGCTGTCAAGTACAAAAGTACATATATTACTCATCAATTAATCATGTAGATAGTTCATATAATGTAAACTCTATTTTGTTTGCATATTTTTTTCCAGAGAAAAATCATATCAGGAAAGTTTGTGTTGTGGAGTTAATATATAGCTTACCAGTTGGGGAACTCCAAATCCAGTAGCACCAGAAGTAGTACCAACGTTGCTCACAGAATTAGCAACCAAAGAATTGTTCCACTTCTCCAAATGATTCACCAAATAAGAATATGTCTCATAATCAACAATTGGTGCAGTTATACTAGTGCTAGTAGTACTTGTTTCAAGAATATGATCATGATTTGATACTTGGACAATATTCCAGCCATTTGGATTCGAAATCGGTAATATTTCCTGCGAAAACTCATAACGTTGATCATATCTAGAAACCTGCATCACAGCCCCAAGGGAGGAGTTGGGAGTAACAATATTGTTATTCATGTCAATGTCCATCATGTTTTGGTTTGGTAATTGGTCTCCAGTTTGTTGTTTCTCCTCAGATTTGTTGCTTGCAGGTTGGTTGATCTTGAAGCCGTGATCATCATGATCTTTGTTATGATTTGCAATTTTTGTGCTCGAACCACCGCCGCCGACCCCGCCGCCGCTGCCGTGATGATTTTGTACCGCAGGCTCAACTCTTTCGACCCTTTTGCTCATTTTCTCTCTTGTCCTCTCCCTTGCCCTTTCCTTCGCTTTCTCCCTCAGCTCCTTTGCGCGCGGATTTATTGCAACCCTTTTCGAGTTTGATCTGCTGTACTTCGTTCTCCCTTTTACCAAAGGCTTGGAACTACTAGTACCGGCAACTCCTTGATCTTCTCCATTGATCCCCACCTCGTCCAAACCCGAAGCCCCTTCACAGCTTTCGGAATTCGGAGAAGGCGTTTGCATCTCCGGACAAGTACTACTGCAGCCACCTTCGTTGTTTGAGTCCTTAAGTTTCTTAATCTCTGATCTTGCCTTTCTGAGCAGCCACTCCACGGTCTTGCTAGCCCTCTCGAATCCGAGGAGCTCTTGGAGATCGAAAAACTCACGAGCAACGTCGATGGACAGCCTCATTCTCCGGTGCCTCGGTCGGGTTGTACCGGTGTGAATCTTGCTATGGCGGTCTTTCCTTTTCTTGCTCTTGTTGTTGCCACTATCTCCGCAGCCGCCACCGCTTCTCTTCCTTAAGATCTGCGGCTGATCATATTGGTCAGTAGGAGCAACAGATTCGCTGAGATCTTCCCCCGAACGATCCGAATCCGACTTGACTAATTTGCTGCCGGTGATTGTAGGAGTAAAAGTTTCAGATGGAAGTAGTACATCACTTGTTTTCTCAGCCGATTCTTTCACAAAAGAGGGTTGTGAGTAGTAGAACTGCTGCGAAACATTTATGCCATGACTGTTTTGTGGCAAAAGGTTTTGGTCTTCAAACGGAGACGTGTAAGCGTTGGGGAAAGACAAAGGCTGATCAGTACAAGAATGACATTTTGGATGATCAAGATGGTGAGACACTTCTTGTTTGGAATTGAGGGTATAATTGTATTGATCTTGTTGGTTCGGAAAAGGCTTTTGGAAATTATGGGAATAATATTGGTCATGAGAAAAGGAGTTAATGGGGTCATTGTTGTTCACATTCCAAGAGTTTGACGGTAAGTTGAACATTTTTGTTTTTCTCTTCTTTGTGTGTAATTAGTTGGCTGGTGGGCTTGAAATTACACTGAAAAATATTAAGCTAGAAAGCTAGTCTTTCTCATGGTGACGGTAAGAAGGGGGTTACTGTTGGGGGGCTTTGACATTGACCAAGTTTAGTTAATAGTATACTACTATATACTAGCCAGAGATATAATATTGTATGTGAGAGAGAGATCAGAGAGAGAAAGGACCAACTATCTAGACTTCCATCCTTTTCAATTCATCATTTCCTTTTCTCTTTGTTTTTCTACCTGGCTGGACAGCAGCTCTCTTTCTTTCTCTGCAAAAAAAATGAAGAAAAAAAAAAAAAAAAAAAACAGCATGGGTTAGGACGACAATGAGAAAGACAGCCAGGTGTATTACTGTTGATGTTCTTTACAGTATATATAGCTTGAGAAAGACATCTGCTAGCTTAATGGTGATCATAAAGTACGTAAATGTATCATGTGTGTGTGTGTGTGTCATATTGTATGAGGGAGCTAGAGAAACAAATTGTAACAAGATTACCTAGATCTTGATCGAAGGAGGCGTTGGAGCTCTAGAGAGAAATGGAGATTCTGGTGAGCAATGTGGAGAGCAAAGGTTCTTGTATGAGGGTTTTGAGAAGGAGGAGGATTATATATTTATAGAAAGAACCCTGCGTATAAAAACTAGATTTTTTTTTAATAAACCCCACAAAAAACTATATTACAATATTATTAATAATGACAATAATAATAATATTAATAAAGATGTATGGTCAATAGAGGGTAAAGAAGGACAAGAGGAGGGGAGGAGAGTTATTGCACAGACAAACTAAAGAGCCATCTTTTCTAAACCTTTTTTCAAAAAGTTGGTCGTGTGAGAGTGAGACTCAGAACCAATGTTGAGGATAGTGAGTGGACAGGAAACCACATAGTATTTGTGTTGTGTGCCACCACTTCACGTGATTATCAGATGGCTTCTTTATGATCATAATAATAATAATAATAATAATAATAATAATAAATAACTATATATTATAAACTGACTTCGGTTTTATGCTTCCCCATTGTATGCCCCACAGATTTTTGAGGAAATCAATTTAAATAGACATTAAAGTTTTTTCTTTCTCTCAATGTACAGTACTACTCACTAATGGATTTCAATCTGCCGTTTAATTTTATGTATTTTAATTAGTGTCTAATCAATTAAATTATACGACATTATTTTATGATAAGCATAAAAGAGTAAGTTAAAAAATAATCTAAATTTTTTACATGACGTGACACGATTTGATTGGTTAGATCCCAATTAAGACATCAATATGGACAACAAATTTGAATCCCTGCATGGACTTTAATTCCCTTCATGTTATTAAACACCACTTCTCGATAGACAGAGTTTATGCATCAGGTAAATATCTTTCCAGTTTTTATATGTGTTTATAACGGGTATATTCAAATGAGAAATCATTATTTTTTTAGTACTTTTAATTATTATTTTTAAAATTTGGTAGTGTATGAAAGAAATATTCTATTAGTAAGATACAATTATGAAATACTGTACGTAATAAAATTTCATCAGATTTAAGTTAAATATTAACAATTTGATAGAACTAGATAAAAAATTGACGATTAAAATTTGTCTTACTAGTCAAGTATGTTTTATTTGTTTCTTTAATTTTTATAAATAAAGAGAAAAAAAGAAAGAGTTGATGCTAAGACAACATTCTAACCTGGTTAGCACCGAATAGAAAATCTGAAAGAATTAATCTTAATTTTTCTTTCATAGGAGAAGCCATGAGGCTTTTTTTTAACCTATACGTGGCTCTCCAACCTTAGAGACAAGGACAATTATTTCACAAAAGTAGCATATTACTGTGAGGCCTGCTCTCAAAGACAATGCTCTCCTCTGACTGGTGTGTCTTGCTAATTTTTTTTTTTTTTTTCTCTTTTTCTTTCTTCCCAAAGTAGCTGTCTCTTAAAAGAGAAAACCATCTAATTCTATCTCTGTGTGAAAATTGTAATAGTCCTATACAATTAAAAGCCCTCTTTCTTCACCTCCTATTTCCTATCCTTTCTCTGATCAGCAATTTTCTTTCTTTCCATACATGCATAGCCTCTACAACATATTTCTCACCATATATCTCTCTCTCTTTTGTTTCTCTCTCTCTCTCTCTCTCTCTCTCATAGCTGAGCATGACTTCTTTAGACTGACATATAATTACAAGTACCACATGATAACAATATAGCATTGCTGGGGTTGTACCAATGTTGCTTTCAAAGAGTAGATAACTACTAAACTATATATGAGGGATAGGGGTGATGAATATTCAACAACATTTTGGAGTGGGTGACAATGAGAGAGCATATTACCAAAAAAAAAAAAACGACCCTAAAAGGTCATGCTCACTCAATTAGTACTACTACAATGCTTTCATTAATTTACCCTTTGGTTGAGTTACGTGTCCTAGTAGTGTACTAAGGTCTTATTCATTTTATCGATTCAAGTTTTAAATTCTAATTTTACAACAGTTAAAAGTAGAGTTGACAATCCGGGTAGTGACACAACTCGAAACCCGCACAAAATTAGCGGGTTTGGGTTTACTATAAATGGATTTGGATCATAATCAGGTTGACAAGATTTATAAAGGGGTTGAGTTAGCGTTGAACTTCTAATACAAAGTGACACGAATTTACATGATTAACTATATGTGTCATCTGCAATCTAATGATATGTAAAAGTTTATATGATATATTAAATATAAATAATGTTAATTTTAATATTTGTAGGTAAAATTCATTTATTTTTTTTAAAAGAAATGATTAATTGACCAACGAACATGTTATACTTGTCTTGACCGTGTTAAATAAGTCATTATTATATTAGTTATTTCTTCAATATATTAATTTAAACGGGTTATACGGGTTGACACGATTAACACGATTAATAAATGGGTCGTATTTAGGTTGACATTTTGACACGTTTAATAAACATGTCGCATTTGGGTTGATGTTTTTTTATACAATTAATAAACGGGTTAATATGAACACGATCTACTAACACGAATTGCCACCCTTAGTTAAAAGCTCTCACAAAAAGTCATATCTAACTTTTTTACTACAGTTAAAAACTCTCACATAAAGTCACATCTTAGCTCGAATTGAAAATTCGAATCAGCGAACGAGACCTAAATTCATTTTGTGGTTGAAATTTACAACCCTAACAATTACTTTCCATCTAGGAATAGGTCTCTTTTTCTTTCATTGTGATCTTCACTATTTCACATATCATTCCGGATCTGTAGTTTTTAGGGAACGAACTATTTGCCCAATATGGCAAGAATTGGGGCATGGTATTTTCTTCTATACCGTAAGTACTCCTGTACAAAATATTATAGATTTATTTATTTATCTTTTTAATATATAACACTTTTGTCTTCACCCTAGCTAAGACTTTGACGACTTTTTACTTAATTACTGGCTAATATTTATTCACTGTTAAAGTGAAGTAAGAGTTTTTTTTTTTTTTTTTTTTTTTTTTTTTTTTTTTTTTTTTTTTTGCTGGTCTAAGAAGAGTTTAATTTCATACATGTACAGTGGCTTTTTTTTTTTCTCTAAATAATTTTACAGCGTTTTCAAAGGTAATAAAAGATTAATGTGGGGAGGGAAAAGGTCCATTGTTTGCTTTTTTATCCTTTGTGCTATATCAACTGAGAATATCTTTATTGATTATGATATCCAACCACAGGCATGTTTGGAGGACCATTCTAATGGTGTGGACCTACTTATTAAGATACCATTATGACTGGTAATTCAGGTATAGCGACACAACTCGAAACCCGTAATAAATAAATAGGTTTGGGTCAAAATCAAATCAAACCTGTGAAACACGATTAAATATCATGTCGTTTTTAGGTTGACCTGCCAACCCACAGTTGACCTGTCTAACCCGTTTATTAAACATGTCATATTTGGGTAACACAAATACACAACACAATTACAAGCCATTTGTTACCTATGTTGAGAAACATGTTGAATAGATTGCGAAATAGGTTGACACGACCTTATTATCACACATTTTATAAACATGCTATTAGAACCAGGTTGACACGACACTATTATGATCTGTTTAATAAATTGGTTAATCGTGTCGTGTCGTGTCAACCCGCCAATATGCATATCGTGTTTGGGTTTTGTATTTAGATACGAATAATAAATTGATCGTGTTCGTATTAGATCTTACCATGTTAATTGAAAGAGTCAACATGACACAAACATGACACGGCAACACGAATTATCACCCCTAAGTGAAAGGGATCAATTCCTTTGTGTACAAGTATGTACGTTAACATTATTTGGTAGACTTCGTATATAGATATATAGTTCATGGGCATATTGTCCCAATTTTGGGATATATATGTGGAAGACATTAAGCCAAAAATTAATAATTTTTTCAGTTCACAAGTTTTATTGGTGTGGACATCAAGCATCTTATCTAGAGTGTATAGATCAAATTTGATAGCCAAATTAACTAAAAACGTTTTTATCTTTGCTGAAAAGACATTTGAACTATTAGGTACATCTAGCTAGACAAGCTTGTGTTTGTTTGAAGTCATTACAAAATAAATAAATAAATAAAAATTATTCACAACATTTTTGTTTAATTAAATGTACTTTTAGTCACAACCTTATAACTGATATGCATTTGGTTACAAAATTATGTTGTGACTAAAACTTTTTGCCATAGACTTTTTAATCACGAAAACTTTTTGGTGTGACTAAAATATTTTCGGCGACTAAAAATCACATAGCTAAAAGTCTTAGTCACACCAAAAGTTAGGATTAAATGAACATTTGTGACTAGAAGTGATATTTAATTACACAAAAATGTTGTGATTAAAAATGTAACAATAAATTGTTGTGAAAAAAGTTCAACTTTTTGTAATGCTTCTCCTAATCTGGAAAGCCCTAAATTGTGGCCCATTTTTTGGAAATATGAATATCCTTCTTCGTGCTTATGTTTAGAAAAAGAAAAGGAAGAAATAGAGGAATACCCATCTAAGGAGAGACATGATTAGTATTATGACTTTCTTTAAAAAAAAAAAAAAAAAATCATAAGGAAAGACAAAACAAGACTCTTGTAAAGGAATGCATAATTCTATTAGTAAGGGAAGAGGGCCATAAATATATATTAGTAAAGGAAGAGGGGCATAATTCTAAGAGGGCACCAAACTAAGGAGGAGATTAAAGTACGTAGGGCATACTTCCAATTAGTAAAGGAATGCACATTTAATTATAAGGAAAGACAAA